GCTTGCTGCCGGCGCGACAATGTCTTGTGATTGTCAACTGAAACCGTATGCCCGATCAGAAGTCTGTTGCACGTCATACACGCCCTGCTTATTTTTCTTTGTAACGGTTGGGATGGCATAATGTAGTAGGTATACAGGGCTCCGTTTACATTTTCATATACAGATCATCACATCATGACGCGAGCTCGCGTTACTAGCAGTTTTCTTTGCAGTCAACGGCTCTCCTTCGGGGAGGCAAACCCTTTCCAAATAAACTTCGAAAAACGATAGCAAAACAATCGAAGTGACACTGGGAGTTATTCAGGCGCGACCTTAGTTCTTAAATTAATGTTTATTGCCGTCAGTCCCGTTCCTTTGCTTATCAATTTCATCTCGTTTGGAACCAGTGACCTCATCCTTTCTTCAGCGGAACTTGGGAACTTGGGAACTTACAAGGACTCCAAACGTTTCATTGCTTACATACTTAAGAGCATGTTGCTTTCATATTATTGGAACTTCCTCGTTATACCTATAATATTTATACCTCAGAACCCTTCTTAACATGGTCGTTTAGCTAGGTCATATATTTTTTTTCAGTCAAAAGTTTCTTAGTCAAGTCCTTCCAGCTTTGTAAAAATATTATTATCACATATCTACCTTCATGTGTCATAGTAATTTTAACCGAAACAGACGATGATCTTAAGGTTACCTGACGATTAACTGGGTGTATGTATGAAGGGATGAGGATACACACAGAAAAATATTGACACCGTTAGCGGTGTAATTGCACAGTACATATCTGAGCACTTGAGGAAAGTTAATTTAGTCCCTTCCCCGCTTAAATTACTCGCGCTTCCAAATGAACACCAGGAAGAAGGTAATAGAACACTGTTAGGAGGGTTGGGTGTTTTACTACATGTAGCAAAACACCCAACCCTCCTAACAGTGTTCTATTACCTTCTTCCTGGTGTTCATTTGGAAGCGCGAGTAATTTAAGCGGGGAAGGGACTAAATTAACTTTCCTCAAGTGCTCAGATATGTACTGTGTAATTACACCGCTAACGGTGTTAATATTTTTCTGTGTGTATACACGTGCAATGCATTGATTTACCATTGAACGCTGTCGGCTGCACACTATTAGCACCAGCGATATACCCACACTTTTTGAGTCGGCGCGTCTTATCAAACGAATATTTAGCAGCTTTCTGAAAAGGTTCCAACTGGTACTGGGTTCCCCAATGTGCCTCCGGGCATATCCGGGTAATCCGATCTGCTGAGACTGCGGCGGCATGGTGCGGTGTTCTGACATACGTTATCTGCGGTCGTGGTGGATAGTTGAACAGCCAAGTGACGATGGAGGGAGGGAGGGATGGAGCACGCCTTCGGGGGGGGGGGGGGGCGGCGGCATCTGATCCCTGATTGGAGCCGTTTCGCGGTGCGGCCCAGTAATTAGGTCTCGTCAGTCGGACGGATCAGCCGCCGCCGTCCGCGCTGTAACGGCGCCGGCGGCTGTAACCGGAGCCGGGCTGCACTGATGAACAGGGCGGCGACAGACAGACGGACGGACAGCCGCTACCGACACCGACCTGCCGCCGACACCGACACCGCTGCCTCGGTCTCTCCGCCGCGCCGGCGTCCGCGGAGACAGCTGACGGCCGAGGGGCTGGGGCGCGGCTGGCCGCCGCCCCCGCTCGAGTGCCTCTTCGCGTCAGTCCGCGGACTAGCCGGAGAAGTGAACCGAACCGGGCGGGTTCAGAGGCAGGTCAAAGAACCCGGCGCGGCGGCCCGAGACGGATTCTCTGACGACTGACAGGCAGCTCGAGAGCTCGGCAGCAGCGGAGTGGAAACAGTCGAGTAGTCAGCATTTTCGACCCAGAAATGGAGGAGGTGTGGCATTCAGTGTTTGATGGACAATGCGACGATGGAGTTCCATTAGTCGGACAATGATCTGCGGATTTCAGCTACCGGCGCGTAGACTGAAAGCATCACCTGCTCTAATAGAAGCGATGTGGTTCCATTACTCCATTAGTAAACTTTCAGCACCGTCATCATCACGTCATTAGGGGTTCGCGTCAGTCGCCACCAGCGCAGTCAAACATCGCCGTACCAGCAAACTGTCCGCTCGTCACTGTGACGGATCGTCACAAGTGCCGCCCGTCGGCCATCGGTCGCCGGTCTGCCGGTGGCCCCGCCGCTGACCGCGCCGTCGACAGGCCCCGGCAGCAGACGTCACCCGGCGGCCACGATTCAGCCGCGCCGGCCGCTTCCCGCGGCGTCCAGAATGACGCCTCTGCGTTTACGACACCTCGGCTCAGCAGGCCGACGACGGTCCAGGAGGAGGCGCCGTGCGCGCATTGATCGCGGCCGCGCGTGGTCGACGGCCGACTCATGGTCGGGCGGCGGCCGCGTGCTCTCCAGGGTCGGGATCCGGCGGCAGCCGCGTGCTCTGCAGGGTCGGGATCCGGCGGCGGCGGCAGCACGGGTGGGCCACTGTCGCCGGCCGAGTCACTGCCGCCGGCCGGGTGCTCCTAAGTCGGCCACTGGCGGCGGCGGGGGTGGGACGGAGGCCGCCAGCCCCAGCCACGCGGACGGGCCATCGCTCTCTGGCAGCGCTCCGAGCTGCGGCGCGGCCCACCTTCCCGGAATCGACCGCCGGCGGCGGCGGATCGTGTATTCTCATTAGAGCAGCGCGGCACTGATCGGCCGCCCGCCCGGGACCGGCCGGCGCCATTTGGACCAGGATGGACCGCGCCAAGCCCGGACAGAGAGGAGGCGCACAGCGGGACGGAGCGCTACCCACCGCGGGACGGAGCGCTACTCACCGCGGGACGGAGCGCTACCCACCGCGGGACGGAGCACCAACGCGCCCGCGTTCGACAGTTTCAAATGACGCCCGATGTTAAACTAAACGCTGGCACGCACAGGGCTCGAACCCGCGACAGAGGCACTCCGTCAGCCGGAATGGTGAATTTATGTAATGGCCGCAGCGGACGGCTGTTCGGCAGACTACCGTTTGGCACAAGTAACGTCCCGTCATTTATTCACTTATGCTAATAAGAGTAGACGGCACTGCGAGCCGAAATCCTTGTGGCGCGCTGGCCGCCCGCGCCATCGCCGGCAGTGGGGGCAGTCATGGCGCGCCACTGGGAGCCGTCGGCAGTCCTGGCGCACTGACTGCAATGGGCCGTCGGCACTCGGCAGTCATGGCGCACTGCACTGGGCCGCTCGCCTCATGCGGGCCACGCGCCGCGCTGCCCGCCGCCGGCGCTCTATCGATTTTATCTTATCAAAACGTCGCGCGTGAAAAATCGCGTCGTAAACGGCGGTGACGACGGTGACGCAGGGCGCGCGCCGAATTCGTCGCGCCGCCAGAAAAAGACGGCAAATTTGCCGCGTCGCCACCGACACCGACGCCGCCGGCGATGAGAAATCGGCCAATTTGACCGACTGCTGGCGTGGACTACGTGCCACGGCGTCCAGTAATGAATGCGGCCACCTCGGGACCGAGCGCCGCCGCCGTCCGGCCGGCCGGCCATACATCCTGGCCGTGTGATAATGCCGAAATAATGGTTTGTTGACACGTGAAAAACGACTGTAGTGTCGCTTGGCGCCCGCGTACGTCGTGTTGGCCGGGCGGCCGGGCCGGGGGCCGGGTATTGACTTACGAGCCGCGGCGCCGTGACAGCCGGTCGGTACGAGCAGCGGTGCCGCGGCGCCCGACCGCCGACCGGGCGCTCAAACTAACGACGTGTCGGCCGGCGGCGGCGCCGACCGACTCGACTAATCAGTTCGCCCTCCGATACCAAATGGCCTAATGGATCGCCAGGAAGCGCCAGCATTGGCGATTGGTTAATGGAAGCCCGCCCAGACCAACTAAGGCGCACTTTGGCACCTACATCGAAGAACAGGTTAATATTGCTGATATACACATCACATATTGTACCTAATAGCCAGTTCTTTACCATTGCTGCATGATGTTAAAATCACTAAAATATGAGTTGTTTGTTTAATGTGTATCCCATCACACACCACAATCGCACCGCTCTGTAGGCATGTATCTGACCCTCTCAGTTTCTCCGCGTCAGTCTGTGCCGTGTCGATGACAGACGGCTCTGTCCTTGGCCCGTCAGTCCGTGTGGCAATGTTTATCGTCGCGGCCGTCGGCGTTCTCTGTGAGCCTGTCAGTCCGACTCGCAGTGTGACGACAACAATTTGTGCAGAAATGGGACGCGACCGGGCAGCTGTGACGCTTTGTCATCCCACTGCGTGCAAACATGAAAGTCAGTCATCTCGTTCTCATCACGCTCAAGAAAATAAACAATGATTAACAACAGTGAAAGCAGGTTGCTCTTACTGATATCAACGCCGATATTGCCGAACGTATCCCACAACAGACGACAAATTCTGATTAAATCATCTAATCCGTAGGATTTTGCAATAAAACATCTAGCAATGCACTGTACATTTTGCTGAGCACCGGTACATCGACAGTCCCTGCCGGTATTTAGCGGGTCTCGTTTGATCCCTTCCGAGAGTTGCAGCCCCAGGGGAGCGTGGCACCCGACTGATCTCCGCCTAAATGTCATATTCAGTTTGAGCCAGGCTGTCGTATTTGAGTGCGCAGCTGCCTGTGCTCCCTGCTCTGTCCTCTGCAGCCTGAGTACTGCAGCCTGACGCAAACCAGTGCCCGCTCTGTGACGTGAATGGATGACGATAGACAGTATTACACGACTACCTATTAATGTTAAATTAGGTCGCATATTACCGCGACAGAATCAATTATCAACCCAGGCACCGCGCCGCCTGACGCAGCAGCGCTGTATGCCAGCTGCGCCCGGTCTCCGCGGGAGGCATACTGCGCCGCCGCGCCCAACTGTCGTGCGGCACAGTATGACTCTCAGGCGGCCGGTGCTGTGCGGCGCAGTATCCACCTGCCGCCGCGGCCGCGCCGGTGCCGTGCTGACTGCCGGGCGGGAGCCGCACTGCAGCCGCCTGACGCACGATACCCGTTCTGTTGGCAGTGTGGAGTCTGACGGCGCGCGGCGACCCGATCGGCAAGTGTCCGACAGAGGTGACGTCCGGCGGAGACGCCTCGCGCGCCGACGTCCAGCCGCCCATAAATACCTCGTCCCCCTCCGCCGGTGGCCAGCCAGGTAAACACTCGGCGCCGGCCGACGGGCCGCGCGCCGCCCAACGCCGCATGCGCTCCCTCCGTGTGCGTAGAGAGGTTTTGCATGAGGCCGCCGCGCCCGCCCGCTCCGATCCCGACCCGAGCAGCCCGGCGGCCGAGGACCTGCTGGAGGTCGAGTGGGAGGCCAGCGGCGACCCGGAGCCCGCCACCGACCACCAGGCCGCCATCCTCGGCGACCGCCTCATCGACTTCTCCAACCTGACGCCGATGGTGAGCAAGGTGTCGGCCGCCAACGGGTTCGACGAGGAGCGGCCGCAGAGCGACGCACCGGCGCTCCCGCAGGGCGACACTCCCGAGCCAGCGGAGCACGACCAGGCGGCCGCGGAGGCAGCGCGGAAAAAGGCTGCCGAGATAAAACAACAGCAGAAAAACGCTGCCTCGGAAAGCAGCTGGCAAAAACCGACTAGTATTCCTAGCGCTGAAGAGCCTGTCATTGAAAAGAAAATGACTGAAACAGTGAATATGAACCCAATGATAATTTCTGGTACCCAAGAGCAGCCGCTGGACTCCGAATCGAAGATCAATATTTTGTTAGGAGACGATGTAAAAATACCGGAACCAGTTGGCGTCGACACTGATATCGCCATGGACGACCAGCAAATATTTAGCCAGCCTCTAGAGACGATGATTCTTCCTATTTTAAATGAGAAACCTCCTCTCCTCTCCGACTCGCAAACAAAAGCGGGAGCTCTCCTTTCGTCTGAGGGGCTCTCAAGCTCTCAAGAGCATCCAAGGCCCCTGCCTTCACACATCCTTTTGAACTCGCTCCCAGAGACGAACTCACAGCAAAATCCCACTTTAAGTCCGCCAGAGAAACTGACGACACCCACGGCCAAGGAAAAGCTGCCTCCGTCCGTCCCGAGTCCGTCCCGCCCGGCACCGCTGCCGGCGGCCGACCCGTCGCTGCGGCCGCAGCACGACGCGCCGTGGCCGGCACCGCGCCGCGACAGCGCGCTCCTCTACGACAGCGAGGTGGTGGAGTTTGTGCCGCTGGTTGACCGGGCCACGGTCCCGCCGCGGCCCGCCCAGCCGCACCGGCCGGACGGCGCGCCGGCCCTGTCCGACTCCGACGTCTCCGGCCTCGGCCCCGACGCCGGAAGCCTCTCTGATTTCGGAAGCAATGAGATTCCTCGCACCGGGCCCGACGATGATGAAGAAAAATTAGCGGCCGGCGACGACCGCGTTGCTATGACGACCCCATCGAGCCGGTCGGAGTCGGGCGGCGGGGCGCCGCGGCGGCCGGTGACGGTGGACAGCGTGCCGGTGCCGGTGGCGCCGCGGACCGTCACCGTCACCGTGGCCGTGGACGGGGGCGAGCTGTACCAGCTGTCCCTGGTGCTGCCCACCGATCACCAGGAGGTGACGGCCACCCTGCAGAAGACGGCGCCGCCGCCGGCACCGGCACCGATCCGGGGGGCAGCGGAGACCACGGTTTCACCAGCTCAAGAGGACGTGACAACGGAAAATACGGAAACAGAAGACACAACGGAGGCACAAGGGACCACTGAGGGATCCACTGAGCCCAGTTCCAGCGCTCCCGAGCCCACTGACGCAATGACCACAGAGGAGGCTTCCACAGCGGCCGTGACTACATCGACGCCGGAAACCGAACCGACAACTGCATCTCCAACAGCAGCTTCAACTACAGCAGCAGCTGATACGATAACTGAGGAAGTCACAACCGCGCCACCGGCCGAACCAACAGCCACTGAGCCGCCCACAGCACCTACCGAGCCGCCCACTGAGGCGCCTACTGAGCTGCCCACTGAGGCGCCGACCGTGGAGCCGTCTGAGCCTACCCAGCCCGACTCTCCGGCGGCGGCTACCACTACCCTGCCGCCGCCGCCGCCCCGGCCGGCGACCGCCGCGCCGCCGCCGGCCGCGCTGGCGCCGTCGCCGACCTGCGCCCGTCCCAGCACAGTCACCGTGACCTTCCCGCCCCCGGTCCCCATCATCGTCGTCGAAGGTGAGCTCTCTTTTCTCTGTGTTCTCTTGTCTCCAGTCTGTCGTTCAGTTTCCCCGCCTGCTTTCTGTGTACATACGTCTTTCTGTTGTCTCTCTAGTTTTGACTATTCCCCTATGTCCCGTGGCGGCGCGCGGCCGTGTGTGTCTCTTAGTTGCTTGCGTCTGCTTGTTTAGCGGCACTCACACAAAGCGCACAGCGCTGCGTCGGTGGTAATGGGGCACAACGCACATTCATTCGGAAGCGGTATACGTAGCTGTTGATTGTTACGGAGTCGTACTGTGATGGTTGAACTGTGGGACGGATGTTCACGTCGCCGCGGCGTTTATCGGCAGCCAAAGGCGTATCGGGAGCGGCGGCTCACATCAGCCCTGTATCGGCGAGTCGCAGAGTGGGACGGCGAGCCCTCGGGACGGCGATACTCATCTCGCCATTCACTCGCCAGAATGGCAGCCCCACCTGCATTTTTCACCGCCGCCGTCTAGATTGAGATAAGGCGTTTCCTTTTTTGCCGTCCGAGTTTTGCCGGCACAACATTGAGGGATTATCCCGTGAAACGCAATTTGGCCGGGCGGCGGATGTCGCCGCCGTTTCGGCTGACGCGGCGTCCCAGGACGGCACGGCGCAGCTGGAGCGTAGAGAGCCTCGCTAACAAGCTTTCGGCTTGCAACTCACAGCTCGAGCTGGACACTAACCCGACAGGACTCAACGGAACGGTACAAACAAGAGAGCGCCAGCGAACAGGAAGGCGTGTCTACGACAGGGTGAATTAGCGCCAGACATTCAAGTCGATTATCAATAGCAAAAATCGTAGCATCAAAGTCTCTATAAATCCTTAGAGCAATATTTCTGGCTTAATCCCGTCACTCCATGCCTAGATTGAATGCTGAAAGCATCTCACAGCCGCCGACTCCAGATGCCGTGCAGAATGCAATTCTGTCAAATCCACCCAGCCGACGGGCGCAAACACAGCCGGAACGAGCTCAGAGTCGGGCTGCACGGTGAGCTCAGCACCCCACCCCCGCCGCCCACCCGCCGCGGAAGCGTCAGGCCTCGCTGGCAGCTAATGTGACGCACCCACAACTTGTGGTGACAACTCGGCGCGACCAGAACTTTTGCTCGCAGAGCGCGGCTGCCGGGCGGCGTCACTTTACCGCGGAGTAACATCAGCCGGTCACGCTCCGCGATATCCGGTGCAGCTTGACAAACGGGCCGTTTGACCATTAAATTATTGTGCCGCGCTGCAGGCGTCATCCTATCAATCTCAATGCTATGTATAATGTACCGCGGGCACCCTGCGCACGGCACGGCCTGCATCGAGGTGCCTGCAACTTTCACACGGTGTCAACTGGGCTGCATTATCAATCTTATTTATGGACGCGGCATAAGCGCCGGCGTCCAAGCTGCTCCGCATTGTCGGCTCGCCCGGGGGTACGTAAGCTGGCCGGGGCCGGCAGCGGCGGCGCTGCCAAGTTTCCGTACCGGTCGGAAACTTTTAATTGCAAAAACCTGTTTGTTTAGCCGGTACGCCTGCGGAGACGCAGTGATGGCCGGTCGGCTCGGTCTGACGAGATTACGCCTCCTCTGCCGCCACCGCACGCACCGCGGCTAAACAACAACACAGAGTGAGCGCCGCCGAGGGGGCGCGCCGCGACCGCCGGCGGCGCGGCGTTTTTGTCTCGTCTGCGGCGCTATGAGCTGCCGACTGAGCCGGAACGCTGGTGGGAGCGGCGATCGGTCGGGCGGACTGCTGGCGCGGCCTGTGACGGCGGGAGGGTGCGGCCGGGACGTTTGTTTACCGCCGCCAGGCCGTAGATCAGCGGCGGCTGCCGGCTGCCGGCAGACAGCCGGCCGGTCGGTCGGAGCGCCTGGTGTCGCCTAGAGGCGGCCGCTGCCGACCGAGGAGCAGGGATCCGACCACCGCCGACAGGAGGTGGTCCACCCGGCCCTCCCCCGCCGGCCCGGGGGTGGTCCACCCGACCCTCCCCCGCCGGCCGGGGGTGGTCCAACCCGGCCCTCCCCCCGCCGGCCGGGGGTGGTCCAACCCGGCCCTCCCCCGCCAGCCGGGAGTGGTCCACTCGGCCCTCCCCCGCCGGCCGGGGGTGGTCCACCCGGCCCTCCCCCGCCGGCCAGGGGGTGGTCCAACCCGACCCTCCGCCCCCCCCCCGCCGGTGGCGCAGCTCCTCGCGCTGACGTCAGCCCCTGCCGACGGCGGCTGATTGGAACCGCGACAAAAAAGAGCGGCCCGCCAGAGTGGCTGTCCGAGCGGAGACGGCGCTCCTATTGGAAATGTGTCGATTAGCGGCGCGGCCGAGCCGAGCTCCGAACGGGCCGCGGCAGACGCAGCCAGAGCCAGGTGCTCAGCCGGCTCCCCGATCAGTGCCAGCTGCAGCTGCCGCCCGACTCTCCGCAGCTCGTCTGTCAGAAAATGATCAGAGATAGCTCAATGGCGATTGAAGTAGGGCTTAAACAGAAAACGTATGTACCCAGACAGGCGGAGGATCCAGGAATATCTAAAACGTTTGATTATAACTGCTTAAATTTAAAGTAAACATGACGATATTTGACAATGAACGGCAATTCATCGATATGTTATGCGTATAAAGCTAAAAAGTGAGAAAAAGTAAACATTACTTAAATGTTTCAACAATTATTAAACAATGATTGTCCAATGTTGAACACCCTTGTGTTGCATTCCGCCCCCTGACCCCTCCCCCCCCCGTGGGCCCGTTTGCAGACGTGCGGCGGAAGACGGTGCCGCCGGCGGGCAGCACATTCTCAGTGGTGCGGCTGGACGAGAGCTACGCCGAAACGCTCAGTCCGCACGGCTACTGGTCGATGCAGTTCTACCTGCCCGACGACGCCTACCTGCAGTGGGGGAGCACGGTGCCGCGCGGCGCCAGCCTGGCCGTCTACGGCCGCCGCAACGCGCTGCCCACGCACACACAGTACGACGTGCACCACCTGCTCAGAGGCTACAGCCGCGGGCTGAGCCGCACCTCCGGGGTGAGTCCACCTGCTGAGAGGCTACAGCCGACACTCACTTCATGCTCTGAGCACGTTGACTAGGTACGAGACAAGGGACAATGCTACAAGCCGGGGGCACAATCGACGACCTCATTTTGTTTCCTGACGCCAGAAGTTTAGAAAGAAGGGATGGTGTAAAGAGTAAAAATTACGGAAATAAATTGGATTCCTGGTCCGTCCAGGACCCAGTTGAAATGTAGTTGGTGAAGGTTAAGCTCAAGTCTCGATGGCCGCGATCCTCCTTCATCCGCAAACGCAAACCAGCTGGCACTCCACGAGGCTTCTGGGACATTTCTTCGCTTGTGTACACTACCACTAACAGCAAAATGATCCAAAATTAAGGTCACGTAGCCGCCACTCAGAAAGGTCAACACTTTCCGGCGGCCCGTGCACACATTTCTCATGAGACCCGTCCACCGTCAGCGCCGTGCGACTAGTCGCGTCTCTGAGCCCGCTGCTCAGACCGGAGGAGGCTGTGTGTCAGTCGGTGTGCTCGGTCTCAGACGGGAGGGTTGTGCGCCGGTCGGTCCTCCCGGCCGGTGACCGACAGTCCGGGCCCGCCGTCCCCACGGACGGAGACGGCGGTCGACCTCTGATCACATGTGACGGCCGGCCGCCGCCGAGCCGACCGGAAGGAGATGGGACGACGGAGGGCACCGGTGGGAGCCGGGGAGGAGTGGCCGGGAGGGAGGGCGAGTCCCGGGGAGGAGTGGCCGGGAGGGAGGGCGGGTCCCCGGAGGACCGCTGGAGCGGGGAGGATGGAGACGCTCACCAGCCGGTAGAGCCCAGGGGAGCGAGGGAGTCGCCGGCTGGTAATGAACACACGCACTCGTGTCTCAAGCACTTGTTCACTTAATTGGAGAACCAAGGGATGTGAAAATCTTACATCGTTGAGGGGAATTTTAAACTGAACTTAACTGAACGTCAAACGACGTATGATGTCTTAAAAAAGAAACACTCGCGTGTAAGACTGAGAACCGTTGTCCGTTACATAAGTTTTCGAAACGCTGCTATTGGCAGTACATGCCACGAAAAGTGGATGGCCAACCGAGTGGTATTATGTCGGAAAATGCAGCGTTCGTATTCTCATGACGGGGTCCACTCTGAAAACTAATGTCTTTGGCTATGCAGATGGTCAAAGTTGACACCGGGTTCCGTTCGCAAATTGAGTAGAACTGTCCCCAGGGCACAATTAATTTCAAAGTAGAGAAGTTATGGATCGTCCCGAAACTTTATCCGTCGCCGCCAAACACAAAGTGCACTCACGGGCTCGTCAGCCCATTCCTATCGTCCTGGATAACAGCCTAAACTAGAGGCAGCTTGAGCCAAACTAGGTGAAATGGTAGGTACTACAAATATAATCAAATACCTACTCGTACATTTTTTAGGCAATGAGCATTTTCGAATGTTCGCATTCATATCTCGTTGTACTTACTGCTTCTGACACTTTTGTGCACCTTTGTCGATATCATTTGCGATTTTGATGCCAAAGATGAAACGTGAAAAGAAAAGAGGGAAAGCGTGACACTGAGAAGAGCCTTTCACAGATACGAAATGGTCACGGGATATTATTTCTTCTTATAACCCAGTCACCACTACCGTGCACTGAGCATAGCGAAATCGCCGTCCAGGTTGAGGAGGCGTCCGGGGACATGTCTGTAACTCTCTCCTCTCGGCCACTCGACCACCGGAGGAGAGTCAGAGCGCTGCACTCAGCCGGTGCAGTGGCGCGGACGGGCTCATATAGCCGACATTACACAGGTGGCAGAGATAATTGGACGCCGCCCGCCGGCCAATGCGACCGAATGTGACGCCTAATGAAGCGGGCGCCACCTCGAATCGCGCTGTTAACGTCCCCACTACACGGCTCGGGTCCATTTGGGCCGTCGGGCGGTTTATTGGGCGGGGCGCTGCGGTATGCGGCAGCCGGCCCGTCGGCAGCGCCATGTCCCAGGACTCCTCCCGGAGAGCTACCGGAGAGGGTATTGCATACCGGCGCCAGTGCTAACGACGCATGGCCGGCGCCGGGCGAGCGTCCAGAGCCCGCCCCACCCGTCAGCGCCTCGTCCCGGCGAGAAACGGCGCCGTCCGGCCGCAACGAACGGCCCGCCCGCCGAAACGACCGCCCCAGATAGGGAGAACACGAACTAACGGCTGTCCTTAGCACTCGAGGCCGCCGGCCGTAACAAGGCGGGCGGCAGCGGAGCCCTTATCTCACCCCGAGTCACCTCCCCCCCCCCCGTCCAGCAGACCTGCAGAGGAGTGGCCTCGCCCGCCGGTCACTGACCTCTGCCCGCTCCGCCGCGTTCCAGCAGTCGGTGCCGCAGTCGTTCACCGAGTTCCTGCTGCAAGGCAACTGGTTCTTCTCCGTGTACAACGACGACGGCGAGGAGACGCCCGTGACGCTGACGCTGACCGAGGCCAAGGACATGACTGAGGGCTGTCCGAACGGCTGCAGCGGCACCGGCGAGTGTCTGCTCGGCCGCTGCGAGTGCCGCGCCGGCTTCGGCGGCGAGGACTGCAGCGAGAGTGAGTGTCCGCGGCACTCGGCGCCCGCGCAGAGTGCTGGGAGGGGGCACGGGAGGGACTGGGCCAGAGGTGAGTGGGGCTGAGCGTGTGCAAGTAGCAGTATCTTTGGCGCTCTACTAGCCAACAGCGGCCAGCAGGAGACAAGTAATAACAGTTCCAAAGTCAGAGCAGGTGACTGTCATAGCCTGCGAGAGATCCGATTTCAGCTGCACCCGTATCGTGCGCTCCAGTGACGGCCCAGTCGTGCCAGACTGGGGCCGCTGTTATCTTGGCACGAGCCTGTCGCCTGTTACGTGAAATGCTGCCATTCGTACCTGTCTGAGAGAGCACGCCGCGTTTGCCGTGAGTTGCGAGTGTGCCGCTTCTGTATCTGCTCCCCGCAGTGGCCGACATTTCCCCGCAGATGAGCGTCATCAGCCTGCCGGCGTGTGCCGCTCCGTAACAGCTGTGCCATAGCGCGCCGCCGCTGCACCGGCCGGCGGCGCCACATTCCCACTAACCGCCCTGGTGGTGTCCCTGCAGTGGCCTGTCCTCTGCTCTGCTCTGGGAACGGCGAGTACCGCGACGGCCAGTGCCACTGCAAGCCCGAGTGGAAGGGCCGCGAGTGCTCGCTGCGGCACGACCAGTGCGAGGTGCCCGACTGCAGCGGCCACGGCCGGTGCCGCGAGGGCACCTGCCGCTGCGCCCAGGGCTACAAGGGCGAGTTCTGCGAGCAGCGTGAGTTCCCACTGACCCCCTCACAGGGGGGGGGGGCTACCCACTGGGCCACTACCCAGGGCTACAAAAGAGAGTCTATGAGGTGCGTGAGTTCCTCACTTATTTCAACCCGATTATTTGTGTGTAAGAAATGCATTATAGAAGAAAAACATCGCCTACAGTCCGCGATGTTTCTAGTCCGCGATGCCGGCGGAGGATTCAGTCCGCGATAAATTCTAGCCTGTATATCAGGCCAGAATTTAGTCTATTTAGAAGAGCGAGCAACGTTTAAAGAAAATTCGTAATGGTGGACGAATCGCACACGTTATCGCTCGCGTCGACGAACCACACAGACGCAGACAGAATAAAGAACATCTGCCCAATGGGACCAGGGAGCTAGTTTCCTCTCATTCAGTGACCCCCGGCCGTAAAAGTCATCCGTAGGCCATATTTCGTGGTCAAATTTGAATATAACGTTCAACCGCATTTCCCCACAATCTCTCACAAACCCATTCGAGTCGGACGACTGTATCGTTGTTTTCTCTGTTTGAAATCTTCGTTCGTGGTTTTCAAAGGCCCGTTTCGCCGAAGTGAGCTTCCAATCATCCGCTCAAAGCCACCCCAGCCGGCGACAAATTGCCAGAAATTTCCGACGCTAAAAATGCGAGTTTCAAACGAACCATTCGCGGGCAGCAAACTTGTTGGATCCTCCGCCGGCATCTGGAGAAAAATCACCAAATCTGTCGCTGGGATTGCGGATAAAGGGACTGGCGGCAGAGTGGCGCAGAAGAGGAAGCTCCCGCGGCGCGGGCTGCGGCGGTGAACGGCCCTCGTTTGGCCACAATGTGGTCGGAGCGTAAAACCATGACAAAGGACTGAGAGGCCGCTTTTGGGCTGAGGGTAGCCGAGAGAGCGACATTGCTTCTGCAACAATGTGCCTCTGTTTGGCGAAAATCGCCACGGGCGGTCGTCGTTGAAAAACCTCCCGCTGTAAACAGTTTACAGAAGCAGCCTTTTTACAGCGGGTCATCGGCGCCGCCGCCCAGATACACACTGACGTCAATATTTCAGCGAACGCCACAGCCAACACATACCGACCAGAAGTGCAGTTTAAACACGAGCTAGCCTGATAAAGTACGCTGTGCCATCGTCGGACTATACAGGGTGATCCAAAAAATTTGGAACCCCTAACTTAAAATGTCTATAAGTCCAAAAGTATTCATTTTATTGACAAATTGCAAACACCATGAGAAAGAGCATTAAATCATCTACAAAATCATGTCAAGTTGGTGCATGTATCCTGTAAAGTATTGACACACTGTTAGGTTTCGGAATGAGCGTCAGAAAACTGAGTGAAACGAAATCGCCAATTGTTAACAATGCACTGAAATCCGTTAGCACTCCATCTGTTGTTTTTTTAGGAATAATACCACATCCACATTCAATTTTATTACATAAAAGTTTACGCAGAAGCACACAATAAAACAGATACACGCATCCTAGCTCCCGCTGTTCATCTCAGTATGTGCTCAAACCGAGCTCCGTGGGCCGTCACGCAGGCCTGCAGTCGCTTGCGGACGGCTTCAACTGCGCGGGCCAGCAGTCTCTGGGACAACTGGTCCCAGCAGGCCGTCAGCCTTTCCTTCAGCTCCTCGATGGTGCTGATCCTCTTGACCTCTGTACACCATTCGCTCCAGTTCGCTCCACACGAATAAGTTAAAAGGGCTGAGGACAGGACTCTTCGGTGGCCAGGCATCTGACTCGATGAAGGCCGGGCAGGCCTGTTCCTGAAACTCGACCACTGAGTGGGCCCAAGGAGTGGGCCGTGTGGCACGGAGCACCGAATGACATTTTTTTTTGCTCCTGCTGAAATTTAAATTCATTACAATAGCACGTGAATGAGCTATTTTTATTCATGAACCTCCGACATGCGACATAGCCAGAACAGCAAACCGCAAATCACTGATTTGCGGATAATGTTGAAAACCGTTTCACTGAGTTTCGTGACACAAATTTTATAGGCATATAACTAGGGTAATATTTATAGTAAAAGTTAAGTTCAATTAACTTGGTTTTATAGAGAATTGAACGCTCTTTCTAATGATGATTGCAATTTGTCAATAAAGTGAAAACTTTCGGACTTACAGACATTTTAAGTTAGGGGTTCCAATTTTTTTGGATCACCCTGTATGTCTTATATTACTACGCCGCGTCTACCTCATGGATACGGGATCTGCTTTCAGATTCGGGAGCGAGTCACCTGTTAATGAAGTGAGCAGGTCGTCCGCGACCTCTCCAGTGTGCTGACCTTTTCCCGTCCTACACCTGAGTACCCGAGCGTCGCCGGCGCGTGAGTTAGCTCAGAGCAGCACTCGGTGATGGAGCGCGCCGCCGCTGCCCGCGTGGCCATCCGTCTCACTGACCGGGCGGCCCTCGGGAAAACGACCCGTCATTCAGACGATTCCGATTTCCATTTGATCGTAATGAACCTCAATATTTTCCTACGCCTGCCTGGTCTGATACGTCAGCAGGCTCGCACAATCGCCCACATTTATCGTGACCTTAACTGTTGGAACCCGAGCGGTGAAGGTAAGCCATGCGTTTCAGCTCTGACCCCGCCCGTGCCCTGCCCGCAGTGGACTGTCCACACCCGACGTGCCAGGGCCACGGGTTCTGCGTAGAGGGCGTGTGCGTGTGCCAGAAGGGCTGGCGGGGCGCCGACTGTTCGGAGACGGACCAGGACGCGCTCAACTGTCTGCCCGACTGTTCCAACCACGGCCAGTTCGACCCGGACCGGCGCCAGTGCGTCTGCTTCCCAGAGTGGACCGGCGCCGTCTGCGACACACGTGAGTGAGGCAGAGGGGCGGGGGTGGGGAGAGATGGATGAGAGAAGGATAGAAAAGGCAGCACTAAAGGATTAAGGAAGCGCGGAATGAGATGAAGAGGTGCCCGGGGAACAAGGGACACGAGGGGAGAGGTATAAAAGTGGTCGAGAACTGTGGAATAAGAAACATGGACAAAGCAATGACTTTGTTCGCTAGCCCTCAGCATCGATATGTTCGTGATAAGACTACACATTTTGCAAAAAAAAAAAATCACATCGCTTTTCCATTGGCTGGATAAAACGTTCCCATTTCGTGAGCCCAGACCAATAAAATTGAGGCGGCGCACTAGCGCGGTCAGATGCCCAGCCTAATGAGATGGGAGTTTCTCCGAGCGGTAATCGGCTGAGGCAAGCACCCCGGCCGATCACAATTGGCTGATCAGTTCACCTGGCCGTCAGCGGGCCCGGCCAGCGGAGCCATATAAACCGACGGCCAGCCCGGGACCGTCGGTTCTCCGAACACACTGAAAATCGAGCCCGAACTTTCCATTTAAACTTGGACGCACTCGCCATGGCCATAGCAACATTTCCCGGAGAAGATTCGTCGTAGAATACATTTGACTCACTGACTTCCAATGCTCCTGAAGGTCATCCGATGCAGAACGATGCATCTGTATCTTCTTTGTGAGCTTCATCTGCTTTTATGATCGATACAGATTTTCGTGACCGATCGACCAATGGGCTGAAGTGGTAATATAATGCAATACCATTTTGAATATATCATGCAGATGCGACAGAGCTTTCGTACAATACGATCAGAGCTATACAGTGCCGAGCACCATCTCGGCTTGGCTGAGCCGCGCGGCCGCGTTTTCCGGGGTTTGGTGTCCTCGTATCGCCGGGGCGCCACCCGCACCCCTCCCAGCCCGCTGTCCGGCGGCGCAGGCGAGTATTCAGCCGGCGCGGTCACCTCTCGGAGGCGGCGGCGCCGGCGACTCGTTACCATTCGCGCCCCACCGCCGCCCACTTGCGGGCCGCGCGCGGGTCTCGGAGGAATAATAAGTCAGCGGCGCGCTCGGCCGAGGCCGGTCAGGTGGCCACCACCAGAGGTCGATCGCCGCCCGTCCGGCCTGCCAACGGTGACCGAGCACAGTGAGCGAGCTGAGCGAAAAACCGGCCCGGTCCGCCTGGTAACTGAGCAGCGAGCGAGCTGAGCGGAACACCGGCCCGCCCCGCCCGGTGAGTGGGGAGCGAGCACGGCCAGCGGGCTGAGCGAAACACCGGCCCGCTCCGGCCGGCGACCTACCGACTGACGGACTGAAAGGCTCCGCGACTCACCGACTGATATACTGATCGGTTGGCCACTGACGGACTGATAAACTGACGGACTGATGAGTGACTGATAGGCTGACGGAAGTGCCTGAGATCAGCCGCAGACTTGTGATGGCTTCCCAGCAGGGGCGGTCGCAGACTTGGAGTTTGGGGGGGGGGGCCAACTTGGCAAAGGGGCCCCTGCGCTGACCCGGGGGGCCCGGTGCTAGCTTAACCCTATTCCTGGCGGGGGGGGCCTCAGGAGCCCCCCCTGAGGTTTTTTGGTTATATCTCCCAAACGCGTTGAGCTAGGAAGCTCAAATTTTCTGACTTTTCCTAAAAGGCTTCTACGCAACATGTCTGAAAATTTTGAGTTGATCTGACCTCAGGTCAGGTCACCAGAGGCGGTTTGGTGACGCTACCTCAGAAAAGTTTGCAATCACGCCAGAGCTAGAGTTTTTGACCGATCAATTTCTTCTCTTCAGGGTTTAGTTAGGGTACCAGTATGTGCAATTTGTATATCTCGGAATTTTGATATCGGTGACCTAAGGTCAGGTCAATTTCGCGACCTCCCCATTATAAGTCAATGGGGGAAAAATCAACTCCCTGTTTTTACCACTAAAACGGGTCGGAATGGCCCCATATACCATACATGACTTCATATACGATCAACCTTCACTACCTTGAGGTCTGTTTTGCTGTTGGGCAGCTGTGAGGTCATGTGACGTCATCAAAGGTCACCAAAGGTTGTTGGCCAATAACTCCGTACAGGAACAAGATACAGACGCGTGGATGGTCTCATTGTGTTCAGCTCGTCAAGACGCATCGAATGATATACATGATGACCTCGAGGTCACGTGACCTGAGGTCAACCTTTGACCTTGACCTTTCGAGGTCAACATATATATCATTCGATGCGGATTGACGAGAGGATCACGATGATGCCCTTAGTTTGTTCCTATCTTGACTAATTCGAAAGTTATTCGAGAAAAACTCTCTCCATATCTAGTGCCGCCATTTTGACTTTTTCGACCCCTGTGACGTCATCTTTGACTTGACCTGAAAATGACCTTAGTAAAAATTGTAGATCTTGGCCGTGCGTATCCGATGCCGTTTACCGCTTGTCGCTATCTTGCTTCGTTCTCGAGATCTCAGGGGGGGGGCCGAATCGGCCCCCCCCGCCAGTTTCTTGTCCCGGCGGAGCCCGCCAGGAATAGGGTTAAAGGGGCCCACGGGCGTAGTGCACGGAAGCAGAAATCAAGGCCATGGCCGGTGAAGCGGGGGGGGGGGGGGGGGTAGGGAGCGGCACCCGAGCGGAGGCTCATTACCGATAAGTGCATTTTGAAGCATTGATATTGTCAATAATTCACGCAACTGTGAATGGATTACCTCAAAAGTAAAGGCGGCTTAGGCAGCTAACTTTGCCATTTTCTAATATCATCGTGCTAAAACTTTTGACAGTGGGTCATCGGTATCTGTTCACTGTTCAATCACATGTGTTCCGTTTCATCTTTTTTTTTTTACTCGGGCACAAATGTAAGTTTTGAAGATCATTACAGTAGCAAATGCTTCGAAAGATGGATAGCGGGCAAAATATCCTAAATTTTTCGTGCTGCATGGAAAGTAGTGTTGCTGAGAAAAGGGGATTTTGTTCCAGATTGTTGTGGATGCAGAATACATTGTCTGCACTCACTGTAGAATTATTGTTGGTGCAACTGCGCCCACTGCACCCATGGTTCCTACACTTATGGGCCCATCGATAGCGCTTCGGCGATACCTATCGCCTAGACTAGAGGCTGCAATGGGGCCCTTACAGTACGGTGTCAGACCCCCCAGAGGCCGGCGTTGGACCCAAGGGTCAGCGAAGGGCCTCAAAGGCCCAGGTAGGGCCCTAGAGGCTGATGTGGGCCTTCTGAGGCAAGTGCATGACCCCCGAAGGTAAGGCATGAGCCCCCCCCCCCCCCCCCCCAGAGAACATAACAGGGCCATCAGTGGCCGGTGTAGAGACCTCATAGGCCAGTTTGGGGCCCCCTCAGAGGTTAGTGTGGGGCCTCAGGTGTCGGTATGAGGCACTTAAAGACCGTAATAGGTCTTCAGAAGCCGGCATCGATCCTTCAGAAGCCAGTACGGGGCCCTCAGAGGCACATAAGGGTCAGTTTGGGTCCCAGAGACAGAAATGGGACCATCAGAGGCCGATGTGGGACCTCTGATTTGGGCCCTTAGGGGCCAGCACAGGGCCTGCAAAGGGCAGTATGAGACCATCAGAGACCGAATTGGGCACTCAGAAGTCAGAGGCTAATGTGGGTTCTTACAGGCCAGCATGGAGCCCACAGAGGTTAGCGTGGGGGCCCTAAAAGAACGACATGAGCCGGCGTTGGACTCCAGAGGCCAGTAGAGGGCCCTCAAAGGCCAAGATGGGCTCTCAGAGGCCGATGCGGGCCCTTAGAGGCCGGCATCGGGTCTTCAGAAGCTCGTGCGGGGCCCTCAGAGGCTAAGGTGGGTCCTTACAGGCCAGCACAGGCCCTCAGAGGTCAGTGTGGGGCCCTAGAAGACCGGCATAGGCCGGCGTTGGTCCCCAGAGGCCAACAGAAGGCCCTCATAGGCCACGATGGGCCCTCAGAAGCCGATGCTGACCCTTAGAGGCCGGCATCGGGTCTTCAGAATTCAGTGCGGGGAGGGCCCTCAGAGGCTAATGTGGGCCCTTACAGGCCAGCAGGGGGCCCTCAGAGGTCAGAATGGGACCCTAAAAGACTGGCATTGGCCGGCGTTGGACCCCAGAGGCCAGTAGAGGGCTCTCAAAGGTCAAGATGGGCCCTCAGAGGCCGATGCGGGCCCTTAGAGGCCGGCATCGGGTCTTCAGAATTCAGTGCGGGGCCCATAGAGGCTAATGTGTGTCCTTACAGGCCAGCATGGACCCTCAGAGGTCAGTGTGGGGCCCTAAAAGACCGGAATGGGCCGGCGTTGGACCCCAGAGGCCAGCGGAGGGCCCTCAAAGGCCAAGATGGGCCCTCAAAGGCCAAGATGGGCCCTCAGACGCCGATGCGGGTCGGCCGGCATTGGGTCTTCAGAATCCAGTGCGGGGGGCCCTCAGAGGCTAATGTGGGTCCTTACAGGCCAGCATGGGGCCCTTAGAGGTCAGTTTGGGGCCCTAAAAGGCCGGCATGGGCATGGGCCGGCATTGGAACCCAGAAACCAGCGGAGGGCCCTCAAAGGCCAAGATGGGCCCCCAGAGGCCGATGCGGGCTCTTAGAGGCCGACATCGGGTCTTCAGAATCCAGCGCGGGGCCCTCGGAGACACTTATTAAAGGCTGGTCTTGGGACTCGAGAGACAGAAATGAGGCCACCAGAGGCCGGTGTGAGGCTCTCAGACGCCGGTTGGGCCCCTAAGGCCGGTTTAGGGCCCTCAAAGGCCAGTGGAGGGCCCTCAGAGGTCAATGTGGGTCCTCAGCGGTCAATGTGGACGCATGACCGCCACTGAAAGGCCCTCAGAGGTCAGTGTAGGACCCTCAAAGACTGGTATGAGAGCTGTTAATAGCTGGCATGGGTTTCTCGAGCCTCGTGACAATCGAATACGGGCCAGGGCCCCATACGGCCATGGGGGCCCATCGGTTGTTTGGGGGGGGGGGCAAATGATATGATGGCCCCCCCTGATTTGCCTTTGGGGGGGGGGGCCATGGCCCTGATGGCCCCCCCCCCCCCTGCGACCGCCACTGCTTCCCAGGCCGGTCGGCCAGGGAGACCGCCAGCCGCCAAGTCTGACCGGCCTACGTCTGACAGCCCGTTCCAGACCGAACTCGGGGCCGTGTCAGCAGTACGGCCGCCGCGGGGCACGCAGGGTCGCCGCTGACCGGGCCCGCTTCCGGCCGAGCTGTGGATATCGACCGGGCGCGGCGGGCGGACGTCGGTCAGCGTCGCTGGCCGTTCCGAGAACAGGCGACAGACGTGGCGCCCCGTGCGCCGAGATTGAGTGCCGACAGATGGTCCGGCCGACGCGGCGTGCCGCAGCCGCCGCAGTCCTAATTACACACTCACAGATACCGCCGGCTGATGGACGCGCAATGTGGTGTGAGGAGAATACTTCTGGGTGGGGCTGATCAAGTATTAAAAAGGTCATGAGATACGGGTTCGTTAGCTCCGGTGTGGGCGGTGCGCCTAGCATTACCGCCGAACCCCGGTCCCCGTCGCACCTCTGAAGCGCCGTGCTCCTCTGATTCGCTGTGCTCCCTGACGCACTGTACCCCTCTGATTCGCTGTGCTCCCTGACACACTGTACCCCTCTGACGCGCTGTTCTGTGTTCCAGCGGTGTGCAGTCTGGACTGCGGCCCACACGGCTTCTGCGAGAGGAATCAGTGCCAGTGCGAGCCGGGCTGGACCGGTCCGCACTGCCAGTCCCGCACCTGCGACCCCAGGTCAGCACTCGGCCGGGGTGGGCGACCGTCCGTCCTCCACCGCGGAACGAGCGTGTGGTGATGTGATGATTGTTGGAAACGACGCATATGTAGGAGTCTGTTGAGCGAACTGAACAGCAAGAATCTCTGGGTATAACCACTACGTAACTGTCTGTTGAGTTGACGTCAAAAGCTATGATGCGACGGATATGAAGTGAGTGAAAGGGCAGTGAATAATTACATTTTATATTTTCCGCTGAAAATATTGGACCGTTGGATTCATCATAAGCCTGTGGGCATTAGGGCGGGATCGCGGCCTTTGTGTCGGCCGCCGGAGGTTTCTGGAGTCGGCGGCCGGCTCTGCACGTCAGTAAATCTCCCGTCTTATGCAGGAGCGCACCGGATGCCGCTTAATTAGATTGTCTGTCAGCGGCGCACAGATTTATCCGCCGTGTTATGGCGCCGGGCGGCATCAGTCAGTGGCGGCGGCCGAACCACTCCCGCTGCAGCCCGGCGCCACCGACTGTAATGGTCCAGAGGAATCCGACGGCGCCGAATGTCACCCCCGGTTCACTGACCCCGCTCGCCGAAAATCACGAGCGAGCACTAGTGCCGAGTTTAACATGCGAGGTCGTGCGGACCGAGCAGCGAGCGACGATAAGCCGAGTGGGCCGTCGGCCTAAATGGATTAGTTTACGCTGGGGCCGGACAGCCCGCAGCCGGGATGTCTTGTTCCGTCGGCGCTGCTGACGGCCGGCCGTCCGGGAGTGGACGTCGGGCGGCCCGTCACCGGCCGGCTCGCTGCAGCTGCGCCGCCCGCAAACGGCGCTCCCAGCCGGCGGCTATTTTTCTCCGGGCGGCCTGCTTCTGTCGGCGACAGAGAATCAGTCGTTGTTTTCAGCTGTGTGAGAGGGTACGTCCGTGTTGTCTGGAGCGGCTGTGCCGACTCCTCAGTCCCCCTCCCCTGCGGCGCTGCGCCCGCCGCAGAGCGAGCCGCCGCCCGGCCGGCCCAATAGGCGCCATCACTGTCGCACGCAGCCGGCTTCCGAAAACATCTCTCCTTTGAGCCGGCCCCGGCTAATGGCGGCCTGGGAAATGTCCACAAAGGTCGAGCTGGAAATTTGTCAAAGATTGCTGCGTGGCCCGATTGGCCGGGCCGTCGGGAGCCGAGCCACGTCAGCACACCGGGAAAAACGGCCCCCTGAATGGCCGGCGAACGGGAAGACCCGCCAAAGAATTAGCGTGATTCTTCCAGTTGTGGCGTCGCCTCGAAACGTGCCCGGAAACGCAATTCGCCGCCGGGAAGAGCGGCCAAGCGACGGCGCCGATATCCGGCCGGGTCGGAGCCGAGCGGCGGAAAGCGAAGCCGTTAGTCAGCTACCCGGGCTCCCTGCCGCGGCTCGGCTGTGATGGATTGGGCGCAGTAGAAACGACGATTTTACATGGTTTTGTTGCCAGCTGCAGCTTCATTTAGGCGGTAAACAAAGCCGGGTACCACAAACTGATTACACCAGCCGACGAACGGCGCTATCCTGGTCTAAAAATGCCCGACTCATTTATAAGAAATTCCCATATCGTTACGTTAAGGACGCCGAAACACGCTACGTCGTTTGTCAACAAGACCCCAGCACTCGTTAAACTCATCAAGTAAATACATAGTGTGCCATCTATCAGGGCGGGCTTCATAAGGGCGCGGCGCCACTGACTGTCCCCGTCTGTTCACAGGTGCGAGGAGCACGGCCAGTGCAAGAACGGCACCTGTCTGTGCGTCACCGGCTGGAACGGCCGCCACTGCACGCTCCAGGGCTGCCCCAAGTCCTGCAGCTCGCGGGGATCCTGTCAGGTGAGGACCCCCCCCGCGCCGTGTTCAACTGGGAGAGACGCACCGAAACTCGGGGTCAAACTGTCCTATGACCAGAGAGGACAGTCCCAGTTCCCAGTTCCAGGACAGACAGTCCCAGTATGTCCCTGCTCCGCGATCCACGTCTAACTGTTTTAGTAAACCTATCCCGTGATACACCGTAAACGCTTGTACATAGGTGGCCTGTCCCGCAAAGCATACGCCTAAAAGCAGCCTAGCCAGCAATTCACAACTGACGCCTGTGGTTAGCCTGTCCCGCGGTACACGACAATCGCCTGAAGGTAGCCTGTCCCGCAGTACACTACAAACGCCTGAAAGTAGCCTGTCCCGCAGCACACAACAAACACCTGAAGGTAGACTGTCCCGCAGTACACGACAAACGCCTGAAGGTAGACCATCCCGCAGTACACTGCAAACGTCTGAAAGTAGCCTGACCCGCAGCACACAACAAACGCCTGAAGGTAGACCGTCCCGCAACACACAGCAGTGAGCTGACGCCTGTAGGTAGCCTGTCCCGCAATGCAAACAGGCCTTCCCGTAAAATAAGCGAGAAGCGCCCGGAATTGGACCGGTCGGCTGTTCCGACGAAACCAATGCCCGGTCAGCCTGAGCTGCCCATTAGGGAGCACTATAAGTGAAATAGTTCCTCCGCCGTATTGATCTGAACTAGATAGCGAGCACGGCTAAGCCGCAAGCTGTTCTTGATTTGGAGACAAAGGCAGAAACAAGCTGTCACCGTTCACCAAGGTGATTTTTTTTGCACATAGCGACCTTTACCTTAGGCGAAATTCCGAAACCTGCATTAAATTTTACTTATTTAGCTCCAAAATACGGCTGGTGTGACAGTGAGCGCGCTCGGCCGTTCGTTATTTCTGTCAAAGCGCGCCGTCGTGACCGGACGGTTTGAGCCGGTTAGTGGTGATTTTCTAATCAGTCGTCTGGCGGCAGCTGCTACTGACTGGCCCGGGCTACATATTGCCGGCGGTGATCGGGCGCTGCGCCGGCCGTGTGTGTAGCCGGACGTCAGTTCACCATGGCGGACTCCGACAGCCGACAGCTCACAAATTAGTCCATCTCGCCCGTCACAATACGACCGGCGCCGCTGCGACGATTAATTACGGCGCATTAACCGACTGGCGGAAGTGAACCGGTGCGTTCTGTGATTGCTCAGCGCCACCTCTTTCAGCGCGCCCCCGGGCGCTGTTTTCGTCGCGCCCAGCGTGCCTGTTTGTTCCGCAGAAATCCAATTTATCGCTCTCTTCATTAAGATTTTCCGACGGAGATCATTATTCAGAGTGTCGCCGGCGCCGCGGCCGTCGATCGTTGTTTGTGCGGCGGCCGGTGCGTCGGCAGTGACGCCACTGGCGCTCGCTGCCGGGGCAGGTCGGCAGCCGTACTTCTTCCTCTATTGTCGCGCCTCAGCGGCGCCGATCGGTGCTCGGTCGTGGTTTACAGCCGCGCCGAGCCGGGCCGGCCGTCTCCGGCGGCGGCAACAGCCGGCCGCTGCCGACATTTACGCAGAGCGACGCGCCGTAAAAAATGCAATCGCGCCGTCTGCGCTGTTTGCCGACGCCGTAAAGCTCCGTTTGAAAGCTGCCTATTCTGAAATACGCCGACGGACCGGCGTAGGTGTAACGGTGCTGCTGGGCGGCTTGGCGGTGCACGTGTGCCGTGTGAGTGGCGTGTGGCTGTAAGCGGTGTGATCGTCCGCCTCGGAGGACGACACCGGGTGGGCAGGTGTATCGTCTCCTCTTTAACGCCTGTCTGATTCCCACATGGCACTGGCTCCGTCGTCGTGCAGTACATATTTATTTGAGAGGCTTGCAATTTCCTTACAACATATAGTCTTCACTGCTCAGGGAGGAATGGGCTCAATTCGGAGGGAATGGGATTGTCGCCGGCTGAATGGAATTTCTGGCTTTAAGTCCCAGGGCAGGACCCTCCCATGTTCCCATCCCGTATCCGTTCGATGCCAAGGGCTCCATCCCATCAGAGAAATAAAATGCAATTCGAGCATGAGTGTCTAGCTCCCACTGGTCCTTAATATAACCATTTGTTACTCCCTTTCATCCGCGCACGCACCATTTATTCGATCATGCGTACATCTACAAAGAACATTCGGCTAGACAAACCGACCCTCCCGTTTCCATTCTAATCCCCCCAGTGGCGCTGAAATTTGCATGGTTATCTCCTGAGGTGAGTTTATACCTTGTTTGGTACTTATGTGCGTATAATGAGGTGTTAACCCCTTTAAGTCCCTGAATTCTAAGCAAATTGGCACTGGGTGTCCTTCTGACCCCATTTACGTTATTACTCTCTCCCGTCGAAGCTACGTTTCTCACGCACTCCCGGCCACTGCCTGCTCTTCAATCACGTGCACTGCCACAGTGCATACATTTCCATCGAGTACCTCTCTCTCGCTCGCGCGCACTGCCACAGTGCGGATAATTTCGCCCAAGCTCAAAGGAAACAACGGTTGTACGCACCTCTGCCGGTCTGTCGACTCGGCGTTGTGAGTGGTCCGGTTGTGCCTCAGTTGAGGGATAAGTTCCTAAATGATAATACCCTCGGCGGAGCCACTCCGCATAACAACTCTACATTTCCGTCGACCACCTCTCTCTCGCGCGCGCGCACTGCCACAGTGCGGATGATTTCGCCCAAGCTCAAAGGAAACAACGGTTGTACGCACCTCTGCCGGTCTGTCGACTCGGCGTTGTGGGTGGTCCGGTTGTGCCTCAGTTGAGGGATAAGTTCCTAAATGATAATAGGTACTCTCGGCGGAGCCCTCCGCGAAACTATAACTCTGTGTTTCTACTGAATACCTCGGCGGAGCCACTCCGCGACACTATAACTTAGCAACCTTGCCCTCGTTTATCGCTCTTACACTCTTACATATTAGCCCTAGCCCTTCAAAGCCCGGTCGACACGGACGGCTAGCCGCTCGGTGCCTTTGCTATACTTTATGGAAATACGCAGTAGAATTCATCGAGTCACGGAATACTCATTTTCCATCTCGCAGTGATCGACAGCGTCAGCAGAGTCAAAACAGCTCTCTCTCTCTCTCTCTCTCTCTCTCTCTCTCTCTCTCTCTCTCTCTCTCTCTCTCTCTCTCTCTCTCTTCTCTCTCTCTCTCTCTCTTTCTCTCTCTATGGATCACTGTTGGGTCTCACTGACAAAGGGCATGCAAACCGATACGATCTACACCGATTACTCTTCCGCTTTTACAAGTGTTAGTCATAGGCTACTTTTACACAAGCTTAGGCACTCTTTTAATATCACCGGTCTTGCATATAGCTGGATTGATTCTTACCTCAGCCACCGCTATCAGCGGGTCATTCTGGATGGCAAGCACTCGGACTGGATCCCAGTGCAATCTGGAGTTCCGGAAGGCAGCATTCTCGGTCCGATTCTCTTCACATGCTATGTAGCTGACCTTCCGTCTCAACTTCAGACCAGCTCACTGTCATATGCTGATGATGTCAAAATTTTCCACAGAATTCAATGTCCAGCGGACGTCAACTCTCTTCAGGCTGATCTAAGCCGTCTTAATGACTGGTCAAAAACATGGCATCTTAGGCTCAATCCGGCTAAATGCAAGACCATCACCTTTACTTTACGTACATCTCCCATCGCATCATCATACTTTTTAGATGGTCACGAACTCGAGCGGTGTACGGAGATCAGAGATCTGGGTGTGATCCTGGACTCCAGGCTAACATTTGGCGCGCATGTTGACGCCTGTGTGAGCAAGGCCAACCGCATGCTAGGTCTACTTATGCGCAGCATGCAGGTCTCACACCGTACCCGGCTGCCGTACTTCGATCACCGGGCAGTCATGGCGGCGTACAATGCCCATGTCAGATCGGTTGTGGAATACGCGAGTGTCGTCTGGAGTGGCGCAGCACCTACTCACCTTGCGAGATTGGAGAGACTGCAACACCGTTACCTGATGTGGTTAGGCGCCAAGACACATAGCCGGTGCTCGATGGACTATGAGTCTCTCCTCCAACATTTTCACTGTATGTCCATCAAAGCTAGACTTGTTCAGACCGACCTGAAGCTCATACGCTCTGTGTTTGCCGGCCGACTGGACTGTGGGCTACTTGTGACTATGTTTTCGCTGCGTGTTCCTGGCCGGCGCTCTAGGCAGACGGGCTTGTTCAACGTACCTTTTGGACGGGTTGATACGGTGAAGAACGGCCTCGGCGTACGAGTCCCGAAACTAGTGAATGAGTTCCTGAACAAATATCCAGACGAGGATTTCTTTCAGCCTAGTCCCCACTGCACCGCGCGCATCCGTGCCTACGCACGAAGCCTTGGTACTTGTATGACGTAGTCACGTAGGCTGCTATTGTTTGCATTACTTTTATCTTTTGCATTTTTTACAGATCATGTGCCATTTTATTGTTCCTTTTTTATTGTATCTCAGTGTTTTGGCCTTTTGCCACTTTTATACGAGCTATTGCTGTCTTTAAGTGTCCCGCGGCTTTTTGTCTGTGGTGGGTATAGGCATATGCATGTGCGTAGGCAGGTGTGATGAAATAGTGTGTGTCTTGTGTGTGTGCGTGTGTGCGTGTGCGTGTTTATATTTTACTTTGACCTCAGCCGTCATTGGGTTTTGCCTGTGGCTGACAATGCCTAATAAACAAATAAACAAACAGGCACAGGGGCCTGGCTCGAACCAGCCTCTCTCCGGCTAGTTGAATTGTCTAGGTCTCTAACTTACTGTGTTGTAGTATGGTTTAGGCTAGTCGCGTCGATATATGGCACAATCATTGGGGGCAAGATAGTGAATACAACCTAGAGAGGGAGAGAGAGAGAGAGAGAGAGAGAGAGAGAGAGAGAGAGAGAGAGAGAGAGAGAGAGAGAGAGAGAGAGAGAGAGAGAGAGAGAGAGAGTGAGAGAGAGAGAGAGGGAGTGAGAGAGGGAGAGAGAGTGGGAGAGAGAGAGAGGGAGAGAGAGAGAGAGAGAAAGAGAGAGAG